GCATGTATACAAACAAATATGAATACATATATACGTATAATATATATACAACTATATATATATATAATATATATATAAGTTATGGATATATTTAGAGAGAGCGAGAGAGAGAGAGAGAGATATATATATATATATATATATATAGATATTGATATATATATATATATATATATATATATATATGTATATAGTTATATATATATTATACGTATACATGTATTCAAATATGTTTGTATACATGTAGATTATATATATATACCTATATACACACACGTATATATATATATATATATATATATATTATCTATGTATATATATATATATATATATATATTTATATATATATATATTTAAATGGATGTATATATAATATATATATATATATATATATATATATATATAGGTGTGTGTTTGTTATCGGTTTTAGTTTATGTTGTGTTTGTGTATTTGAGTGTGTGCGTATGTTTCCGCTTTTGTTATATTGATGTATATATCTCGGAATTTATTATGTATGTGTCTAGTAGGCCGGTGTATCGGACCATAAACAGATTCAAATGTGTACTAAAATGCAATACATTACAAAAATCAACGCCTAGTATTCCCATGATACTTATCCCGTTAGTGTTTCATATTTAATATATAGCTGTTCCTCACTGAACTGACTTGCTATCATTTGGTACCGAACTTCAAGGAATGTATCGAGCAGTAGAAACGAGGAATGAACAGGTGGAGATTATCGCGCCTTCGGAAGTGTATACAGAGAAGTATGTGAGTCACCAGATCAGATTGAAATTGAGAGTCTGCTGGATGAACTTCGCCTAGGCATAGGCTACCTCGCGTGGATCGCTTGTGTTTTATCGTATATTTGCATCTCATTTATTTATCATTTCGTCTTATGGTCAATGTCTTTATAAATCGAGATTCATCCCTTCCCACTTTTAAATGGGGATTCGACCATACCCAATGGTTTGACAACCTGCTTTTTCGTCGCAGCTGTTATTCGTTCTGATCTATTTACTGCGTTTAAATCCATACGTATAGTATACATATTTATACACCCCTCAATGCACCCTTTCGCAAGGGTCTGGCAACCTGCTTCTTCGTCACAGCTGTTTTTCATTCTGATGTGTATCCTGCCTTTATATGCATATGTATAGAATATATATACACCCCTCAATGCACCCTTATGTACCTGCATAACCCAACACACACCTAGACTGGACCGACCGTGGAGTTCCTTTGGTACCAAGCGGACCATACTCATCAGCTACCGGGCCTACGATACAGTTAAGGTCACCCGCTCCACCTCCAAGACGCACAAGCCACCGTCAGATATATTCTTCTTTTGTCTACGCCTGTTGGAATATGACCCAAACAGTGAAGATCCCCAGCGAGGGCGGGCCATAATCGAGTACCTGGAAAGTGTACCGAACATTCTCCCGCGAGACGTACGCCGGGATGTGTACCGTAACATAGTCAATGCGTATGCCTTGGACTTGTCTGCGCGTGGGTTTACGCATTTGTATCTGAGAGCGGAGCCACCGGATGTGGGAGAGAGTTATATATTCCCAGGCAGTTGGCAGGGCAGTAAGAAGCGTAGCTCAGCGGACATGCCGGCCTATGAGTATCTGCTGAAGTGGTACACGGGGTTGTTCGAGTATTTGCTAAGAGAGGATTCAATCAGGTGGGATGTCCTGTGTAGAAGATCTGGCACTGGTCTGAATTTGCGCTTGTGTGTGCATTTGTGTTTGTCTATCGGTATATATATATATATAAATATATATATGCAAATATACGTATTTATTACTACAACAGCGGTGAGAATAGTTCAAACTATTCTTCCAACTAAAATATTCACCCGTTCCACAGTGACTACTGCAAGATATCCGACAATCTGCGCGGTGTGGATGATCTCAAGAGCTTACCCATATTCGATGGCGACATTACACTCCCACGTGTCCTGGAAATTGTCTTTGCGCGTGATCGGTATGTGCCACGTTTGCAACCAAGATCAATATACACCTGTGTAAACTCAGTACACCTGTGTAAACTCAGATAGGCACAGGTTTGTCAATATTTATGAACGTGGTTTTTGCCATGTTAATGTCTGCTACACATATTAGATTCCCACCCTTTTCCCAATCGCTCGTGTTTTTATGGTTTAGGGTTTCAGGAAAAAGCTGTATGTGCGCATATGCACTGTGCTGATTAGATATCAACAGATATACCTACACTGATGAACCCAGCCGTTGGCTATACCCGTTGGCTATACCAACAGTTGCTTTGTGTCTGTGTGAACTAGTGCGTTTGGTTTTTATCCCTGTACAAGGACGTGTTTACTACCTATATCTAGGGTTTAGGGTTTTTCTACCTATTGCTGTACGGGTATATGTACTTACTTATTCAGCGTGGCGTAGTTAGCTGAGTATGTCTACAGAGCAAGGTGTCTGTATACTCACCGTAGTAACATATATCCCTACATACACCCAGTGCGTGTTGTCTAGGTACACTATCGCCCTCAACTGTGCACGCAAAAGCGTTCTGTTATTCGAGGATGAACCATCCATGCATACATATCCGTCGAAAACCCAACTACACCAATCCTGTGCCTGTTTTAGGGTTTTTAGAGTTTTAGAGTTTTAGGGTTCCCTGTTGTGGTCGCATATACGCACGCCTGTGTCCTGTTTATGGGAGGTGTTGTACATGCATTAACATTCACACACTTGCACACATACAACATCTGTGTGTTTCCGCAACACCCCTTGCTCTCTAATCCCCGTGGTTATCTCGCCTGCATAGTAGTGAGTGTGCAGTGGTTCATGCCTATACATGTATCTCCCTACACACTATATGCTACATCCAACTGTGCTATCATATCCTAATGTATTACATAATATGCATGTTAGTAGTGAGCGTGCAGTGGTTCATGCTAATACATGTATCTCCCTACACAATATACGCTACATCCAACTGTGCTATCATATCCTAATGTACTACATAATATCCGGTAGAGTAGGCTTGTTCCCTACTGAAGGGTTTAGAGTTTTAATCCCCTAAACCCTAAAACCCCTGTCCTAACCCCCCCCGGGCAGGACCATCTACGATGACGAGCGCTTTGCCGAGCTTTTCAAGTCGCAAATGTCTCTCCTACGCAACGTAGCCTATCCTGAGATTTACTTTGTGCTGACACTGGTGGACGGTGTGCCCCAGTTAAAGTATGACGGGCAGATGTACAGGCACGGCCCCCCCATGAAGCGAGGGGTGACGGAGAACTACAAGGGCATCAGTCTGTTCTGTGAGAGGTGTGTGCGGTGGGGTATGAGGCATATATGTACCGTGTGTGCGTGCTTGTATATGTACATATGGGTGTGAGTTGGATTGGGATATATACCTACGCGGGAAGGGTACTAGCTTCCCCGTTTAGAGATGGTGTGGTGTGTATGCCTACCCCGATATGACTCAGGCCATATAATAGTACAAGTCCAAACATTTCCTCGGCGGGAGGTGTATATCACTTAGAGCCGTGCAGATCTGACTGTAAACCATTGGGAGACTATAGTCTGTTCAAAATGGGCGAACGATCCACACACACTCATCTGTCGTGTGTACTATGTCATTGGAAACACTCTGTAGTATGTTAGTACCATTACCCCCTGTGAGTGGGGTGGGCATGACTAATCCTCGCATCACAGAGTAGAATTTCCTTATAGGGACATGTCAGCGACGGAGTAAGCCATGCGTGGGCAAGTCTTGAGCGTTGACTAATCGGAGTACTGGAGAACCAGACCAACTGAGCACTTTTAACTGAGAATATATATGTACATTTGCTCGACTAAAGACAATACTGCAGAATCACCCCCTGGAAACTCTTAGATATGCACATTATATATACATACACACACACACACACACACACACACACACACACACACACACACACACACACACACACGCATATATATATATATATATATATATGTATATATATATATATGTATGTATAATACATTTTCATATATATACATTTGTGTGAGTGTTACAGGCACGGGCTCTCATTCCGAAACAAAGAGGAGGCAGCGCAGGCGAGTGCGGCGCTGTGGCTGGAGCTGTTTGTGACTGCGTATTCACCCAGTCATATCAAGAGATGTGCGGACGGTGGCTGGTATGTACTCGTGCTTCATGTCTTGTGAGTGATAAAACTGTACTCCGGGTCTTTTTGGACCGAACCGGTACAGTATAACGAACCCGAGAATTGGTTGAGGGGGTCAATGGGCGGGGCCAGGGGGGGGTTTTGAAGGGGGTGAAGATGCACTAACTGTCCTAGAATATAGACCTCTCTTAGGGTAGTTGCTCTCACCCTCTATATATGTGTATGTATTCCGATGAAGATACACTAACTGCCCTGGGATATAGACCCCTCTTAGTGTAGATTGCACCACCCTTCTATGTATGATTACGCATGCTAATGCAATCAGACTGGCATCTATGCACGCGTATACCATAGTAGTAGTACTCGCCTTCAACAAATGTCCTGTTTTCTCTGCACCTGCAACACCTGTCCAATTTTCTCTGCACCCGGACAGCGAACGATTGAGGCGATTGCTCAAAGCGGACCGATGGCACGACCGCCAATTCTCAGAGCTAACATGTATGTAAAACCCTCAAACCCGAAAAACATGTATATGTGCATCATATTCTTAGAGCTAACATGTATGTGTGTATCGTATTATTAGAGCTTACATGTACGCGTGTATAGGAAATCTGACTTCAAGTTACCCTTTTCTATGACTGGGCGGGAGGTAGGCCAGTTTAATAAACGGGTGTGGTGCAGAAGGTTTGGTGTCCAGATTTAGGTGCACAAATTTGGAAGTTCTGTGTCCGGTGCATGAATGGGGCAAAGTTTCATACGCACATTGGGATTTAGATATGCCTTTACGCCGCACCGATGTTCCTGATGTGAATTGTATCTGCATCGCCCCGGCGGGGTACCTAACCTTACTGTACTATGAATCTCACTGTGAGTTATGTCTTCCGTCGTCTGTGCCACTATCTTTCTGTGCTGCAGATATACTGTCAGCCTTCCGAGCGGAAACAGACGCCGAAGACGAGAGAGCCTTATCACCCCATGTCAAAAGGCAAAAACCCACTAACAGAAACACACCCGACCTGGTCGACCCAGGTGCCCACCCAAAACGGTGAGTGTTCGCAGTTGTGGAAGCAGTTGGGGCTGTGTTTGCAAGCCTGTATCAGGGCAACGCCAGTACATCTATTAAATATTTTGACCTTTTACCTATTTTTTATCGCGTTTTTTTATCGCGTTTTTGTTAGGGAGAGAAGGAAGCCCGAACCAAGGAGCAGCTACGAAGATGAAGCCGTCGAACCACGCAGACCTCGCACCCGTTCAACAAGAGGCTCTTGACAGCAGCACAGGACAGATATCAAAGCAAACCACCTCATAGTTCTCATGACTTCCAATAAGTGCTATGTGTGTCGGGAACATCACTTTGCTGCTTCATGTAACGAGACGATAGGTCGCAACAGGATGATACCTTTCAAAGCTGCTTTTGATTGGTATTCAATATTCGAAAGTATTAAAAGTAGTGCTACGTTCGCGGTAGTACTCAGCATCGCGGTACTACCGGTAGCAAATACGGGTAGTGCAATTTGCCGGCACCTTTTAAAGCGAGAACCACTGAACCAGGGATGGTTTTAATATGATAAATATATCCCAAATCTGCACCCGCGTAGGGACGCAGGAATTTAAACTCGGCATGAATTGTAGTTAGAATTTTAATACTATCAAAACAAATGCTAAAGTATGAGTTAGTATGTGAAGTATATTGATGTAGTACTCAGTTACCACACCCACTTCATGATGCTCTTGTGCGCAGCCC